CATGTTTTATGGATCTTGTGAATGGTTTGGGTTGTTTCATATTTTGAGGGCATTACACTAAAGCAGTGTAACCCAATGGTAATTGGTAACTTTTTGAAAGACTTGCATTGATGCGTATTTCAAGTAATTTCTTGTAATGTTACGTATCCATAGTTTGTATTTTATCTTGGGTCTGTATCAATGTCATTGATTTTTTTCTTTTAGGGGCCACAGGTACAGCGAGATGTGTTCCAACGCTGTTGAATCATTCAACAAACTAGATTCGAGAAGCTCATCATCTACCCATCACTCAGTTGGTTGATGCAATTAGGCGAAAAATCATGGAACAAATGTCGGAACAAATGTTGAAGCGACAAGTTAAATCTCGCGATTGGGTTGGCGAACTTTGTCCAAAAATGGAAAAGAGTTTGGTTTCTGCGTTTGAAGACAGTAGGTCGTAGATTGTTAATCAAGCTGATATTGACATCTTCGAGGTTCATTCGCACCCATCGGTGTTGGTCGATGTTGGTAGGCTTTCTTGCTCGTGTTTTCAGTGGCAATTGAATGGGTTCCCTTGCTCCCATGTAGTTGTCACTTTTCGCAACAGTGGCATGGACATTTACGAATTCGTAGAACCATTCTATCGCATGGCAAACTATAAGGTTGTGTACTCTGGGTCTATCCACCCCATTCCTACCGTTGAGAAACCCAAATCTGCAAAGTCAGATTACCTCATTGTGCCACCGATTTATAAGCGACCACTTGGCCGGCCCAAACGTAAGCGAATTTCATCAAAATGTGAGGTTGTTCAACGTATTTGATGTGGCAAAATGGGCTATCACAACAGGAAAACATGCAAGGAACAGATGTCGTGCACCATATTTTTCATCTGCAAATATGGTTAATTCGCAAATAAAAGTTACCTACAGTAACTCGTTGAACATGTTCATCTACATTCCCTATTGTAACGTCATCGTTACATCTGATATTATTACATCACTATGAAAAATTTATTTATTTATGACATTTACATTTGATACGTCGCCTCTACGTAATACCTACACCTTCTACGCAATTCATATTTGTTGTTGTTTTTTCAAATTAAGTATGTTACTTCGGCACAACTATGTATCTTGTTGACAATTTGTCCCAACAAATCCCACAAGGACACCATGGTTTCACTAACTTTTGGATTACGTAATCCCTTCTATGTCATCACCATTTCATGTGTTATGATTTTTGTAGTCAATTACATTACGAATGTATTTTTCTCTTCACCAGTGTGATGGTATGTTTAAATAATCATATGTGTTGGTGTTCCATTAGGTGCTATCACATTATGGATCAATGACACATTACCCCCACCAATTGTGACAATTACCATGAACCCTGCCACATACTAGTCATAACCAAAATTAGTGTATGTAGGTGTCGTGCACGCGTCCCCAATTTTTCCATAATTATAACATCACAATAAACCAGCATGGGGCGTCAAACACAACAACAAGGCGAATTATATTCAGCAATTCACATAACAACAAAGTAAAATTTGTCCACTTACGGTGACCCCCAACACAACATATTCCTATATGGGCCAGTTCACTATCGTATACATAGTTGTGTATATGATTCCAACAAGCGACCACATTATGGACTTCGTTACGAATCAACAAGCGCAATCATATTATGCATCGCAATTGATTTCATCAGTGCACACACATTTACATTAAATTCACTATCTATTATTCCCAAAAAAATATCATACATGACCAAACATCGATATCGAATTTAGCCATAAAACTAACATCGTTCACCTTATAGAACAAGAAACCACTAAATCTAAATCAACGTAATTTGTTAAAAACCAAAGTAACCCAAAATCATGCAAGTTCCATATACCTAACCACTAAATAAGAAATCAAAAAAAATAGATTTTCAGTTCAAAGCTTAATGAGCGTAAAGGTCTGGAATGTGTGGGACAATGACATCAATCCATTCTAACACATAATCCTCTTATCGGGTCATTCAAAAACATTTTCACTATTACTGCACGAAGATCGCATGGAGTCAAACCACCCATCGTAATGTCAATTTCAACTTCGTGGATGTATTGTCTCATGACGTAACAAACAAAAATAGCATAATCCGGCCTGCAATGTAACCAGGAAAATACAAAATCAACTACAGTTTTATGGGGAATAATGAAACGTTGAACAAAACTATAGTTACCACTTACGTATCGAGACTCTATTGTGGGTAGTCGATGACCGAAACAAGTGGCCCATCAAACTCTAGAGTTTTCACATTATTAGATGCAATCATACGTTTCACAAAACTTGTGTAGTGCTCCACCACCCACTGTTTTTGCAAAATTAATGACATATATACATTAAACAATAACACACATCACATACCACAAACCCACATCCCACAACACGATACACACACGGGGAATATAGTTCACCTCGCCTGCTGACGTGATATAAATAATAAACCATTAATATGCGTTTACACGTTAACTTACGTCACATTCTTACCATTTTCAGTGCTTCATTATAATGGTCATCCTCCATCTCTCGTCTCGGTCTCATAGAGTTATAGGGTGTGTTTTGTTTGTATTTATAAAGTAGTTTTTAAGATAAACAGTACGAGAACTTATTTGGTTTGCCTTTTTTCAAAAATAGTTTTGGAAAATTGTTTTGGGGAGAGAGCTTTAAAAAAAGTGATTGATTTGATGTGTATGAGAAAGAGAGAGAGAGTGATTTTGGAAAGTAGGTAACCAAACAAAATTTTGAGATTTTTTTTTGAAAAAATTTGTTTGGTTTGATTACTCTTGAAAATTTGTTTGTAGAGAATTTTTTCCAAAAATTTTTCTGAAAAACAAACCAAACAAGGCCATAGTGTTTCCAAGTGTCGGTCTCTGAGTCGTGCACCATGATAGTCCAATGGTTAGAATGATATACTGAGTAATGTGTGTATATGTGACCTTTTGCGGCTTTGAAATTTACATTCAAATACTTTGTCCGCAAAAGAGCACTCCAATTCCTCATCACATCCTACCACAATTTCAAACATCATCGCCAAGCCGATACCACATTAGTACATGCATAACATAGATTGAGTAGGAGTAGGTGTGAATCAATTTGTTTGTTCAAATTAAAAGAACATACCAAACACACGCTGCTGTACACATATGACGTGCCATTATTCTCGATTCCTTCAACTGTGTTCTTTTGCAAATCTATTAGTATGCATATGCGTCAATTACCTACGGAATTTGACGACACCACTCCTAATGTGAACTGAAACAACACTAAAAAACTTGCCACCATGAAAAAATTTACACACCCACACCCACACCTACCCACATTTATAACACAATCAACATCTTACTTACATTGCCCTGAATTGATGACTGCTGCACCAAATCACAAACATCCGTGAATATAACTTGCACACCTATGTCACCACCATCCCAGATTACTGACCTATAATCAATTGTGCAATGTGTTAACAAAATGTAAACCGTAAATGTTACACCAACTGGGCAAACAAACAGTTGACAGTTACATGCAATAACAACGATAACAATTACTCGTCCTCATCTAAACTGTACACTTTCTCCAAAACCTTCATCTCGTCGTTTTCTAACATGTTCCGCAAAGCATGTTTCTTGTTCATTCTAAATCCGTGCCATGTCTTACTTTCAAACCCAACATCGTCTACGGTGTAGAATACTTCAGGCTTTATTTCTTTCCCGGTCATCATTTTGTAATTTTGTTTTCTACGTCCACCCACCACAGGATACTCGTAATTGTCTAATCGGAATTCGCGGCGTGTTTTGTTCTTCATGCGTCTAATCAATGACGTTAATCTTGTCTGGGGCTGCAAATTCTTCTTTTCCCAGTTCGTACCCCACAATTGTTATCCAACACGACAGGACCATGAGATACTACAATGTTGTTTACCATCGTATCCCGATCACTGATGCAAACGCCAACACGTCTCGCACTAGCATTTCTAACCCAACCCATATCATCAATAGAATCTGTCTTATTTTGAACAGTTGGGATGCTTTTGTCCCCGCCCGAAAAAGAATGTTGCACACTTTCGCTACTTGTGTCATTTCCTTACCCATTATTTCTCCCCAACCAATTATCTGATGCCGTCCTTCGGCTCATGCTTCCACCTATAACTGGTTGGGTCACTACGTGAACTTCATGGTCATCAACCTCGTCCTCCAATGTTGTTATTCTGTCTTTCAGCTGTGCAACTAGCATGCTTAGACGAGCTATTTCAGCATCCTTCGGCCCAATCACATTTTCAAAGCCGATAAACGTGTTGGTTGCTTGTGAACCAATCAACCGTTCCATGGATTCGACCTTATTATCCAGCTCACGGACACATGCAGTCTTCACTTGAACCTCACCCTCCAACTCATTAATTTTTTTCATAGCCTTATCTAGTTATTCTATTGTATCTTCTGGGTTGTTAGAGCATCTCCAACCACACTCTTTATTTTTCACTAGCTAAAGTATAAAAAAATGACACTCTTTATTTTACCTAATTAGTTTAGCTATTACTCTTTTTCATAGAATGCCACATATGCACCTACTCTCTAATATGGTTGCCAATGTGACATTTGCGATAATATTTTTAAAAATAATATTTTTTAATATTAGTTTTAAAAATATTATAAAAAATAATTTTAAGTAATATTTAATTTTTTTATTATAAAATTTATAGTATGTGAATACATTTCAACATATGAATTTGGTGGAACCATCTTGAAAGGAATGGAGGGGAAGAATAAAAGAAAACAATAAAGAATTTTTTTTTTAAAAATAACAATACAAAGGAAGTTCTTCAATAATTATAGTTTATAAAATTAAGAACCGAAAGAACACAAATTAACTAATTAAAAACCTTACAAAGGTCAATGAATAAATAAGAAAAAAAATCATAAATAGCAAAGTTAGGAATAAAATTCAAAATAAATAAACTATTTCTAACACTAATTGTTACAAATCTCCATGTAGATGCCACAAATGCTCAACTAGGTCTGCTTGGAGTTTAGAATGAGTTTGTCTATCTCTTATGCGATGATGATTTTGAATGAAGTCATAAAGTTCGGGTGTACGCTCGTGTGACACTGCTGGAGGAAGAGTTTCATCGATTGCATCATAATTACAGACTATATTTTGTTCATTTCGCTCATCATCAACAATCATATTATGCAATATTATACATGCCTTCATAATAACTTTAAGGGTTTCAACTTTCCAAAAACGTGCAAGTCCTCGCACAATTGAGAAACGTGCTTGGAGCACTCCAAATGCTCGTTCGACATCCTTCCTTGCTGACTCTTGAGCCTTAGCAAAATGTATTTGCTTATTGCCTCGTGGAGATGGAATTGTTTTAACGAATGTTGACCATTGAGGATATATACCATCAGCGAGATAATATCCCATTGTATAGTCATTTCCATTGATTGAGTAATCAACTTGGGGAGCACGCCCTTCAGTAAGGAGAGAAAATACAGAAGAATGTTCTAACACATTGATGTCGTTATGAGATCCCGGTAATCCAAAAAATGCATGCCATATCCATAGATCATAGGAAGCCACCGCTTCTAAAATAATAGTTGGTTCATGGATATGACCACAATACATACCTTTCCATGCAGTAGGACAATTCTTCCACTTTCAATGCATACAATCAATGCTCCCCAACATTCCAGGAAACCCACTATTTTTTCCCACCTCTAGTAATTTAGCAATGTCATCATTGTTTGGTGCCCTCAAGTACACATCTGAAAAAATTGCAACCACTGCCTGAACAAACCTTTGTAGACTTTCTATTGCAGTGCTTTCTCCAATCCTCACATAATCATCTACAGAATCGGCCGCTACTCCATAAGCGAGCATCCTCATAGCCGCTGTCATCTTTTGAAGGGAAGACAGACCAAGAACTCCAATAGCATCTTTCTTCTGGACAAAATAAGGATCATATGCTTCCACCATAGATAAAATACGAAGAAAGAGATATCGACTCATCCGAAACCTCCTCCTAAATAAATTGGGCGGATATATAGGCGTTTCAGAGAAGTAATCTTGATAAAGTCTCTTGTGGCCTTGAATTCGATTACGATAAATAACTGTATGCCTTGAATAGAACCACGACGTAATCCCAATTGCCTCTCATTATTTAGCCGCTCTTCTTCTAAAGCAACTATTGCAAATATCTCCAATTCATTATCAGAATCAGAGTCATCAATAATCATCTTCATTACACTATTGCGAGCCATGGAAATTAAAAGAAGAATGAAGCTGAGTAATAAGCAAATGAAAATAAATATTAGGTTGTGTTTTGCTTCTTAAGCTTTGCAAGTTTCTGCCTAACAACTTCAATTTTCTGCAAATTCAAATTTATAAAACATATCAAACAACTTCCAAAATCAAAACACCAGCAACTTACATAATCTGTATTTAATTGATCAACAAATAGAAATGTCCTGTAAATAAGAAGCACTCCAATCCAACATACAATAAGAATTATATTTAGCCATGGAGTACTTCAGCAAGCATTCAACGAGAATTCCACTCAGTAATTAAATTACTACTACTTCAACCATTCAACAATAGGTAGTTCCAAAAAAATATTAACATATAATAAATAATTCCAACATAAACTGCATAAAAAACATAGTTCTGCCTACAATGGAGAATCAAATCCAACAATAAATAAAGTGAAAAACATAGTTCCAACAACTAAATTTTTTTTGGGTAGTTCCAACAACTAAATCTTTTTTTGGAGAATTTCCATTTGGCGGCGATGAAGGTATTCTGCTTGCAATGAAGGCAGACCACTTGTATCTATTGACATTATTCGCTCTTCCTCCTTCAATTGTTCCATTCGTATCTTCTCTTTCTCATTATCAACCTTTTCTTGTTCCGTTTGCGTCCTCTTTTTCTCATTATCAATCTTTTCTTGCTCTTGAAGATACGACCTTTCATACATCTCTATTTTCTTGTCATTCATTTTCTTTCTATCTTCCTTTAAATCCTCTAATAATATTAAAATAGGTGACCCTCCTTCATTTCCACGGTCTTTATTCTTTCTTTTATTCAAACGTTCCTTTTCAGCTTTCCTACCCGGTGGTCTTTCCAAGTCTACATTGTCATTATGTGAAACATCATTGTCCTCTAAATTGATTGAATCCGGTGCACTAGGAGAACAAACGCCGGGAGTTGCCACTTTTTTTGGTTTTTGTTTCTTCATGCTATATTCCTCTCGCCATTTTGGTTGATCTCTTAACTCATGCCAACAATGTTCAAATGGAAATGACGATTTGTACAACTCTTTGTATAATTTCTTCGCATCAAGAATCTGAATAATAGATAAAAGAACACTAATTATCATGAGATTAGACAATTCCAATGATAATAAGTATAAAAAACTCAATGGCATTAATACCTTATCTTTGTCAGTCTTTCCACTTTGATTCAACCTTTGGATTTGGGCGAAGCACCCACTGAACTTATTCGTGGCAAGTTGAATTGCTGACCAACGGTTCATTAAAGAAGTTTGACTACGATTAGATGAAAAAGTTTTGTACTGGTGGAAATACTCCCACACTCTTAGCCAATAAGCCTTTGATTTTTGTTCATTCCCTTGCACTGGATCTAAGCTAATGTTAAGCCACGCCGATATGAGCATACTGTCTTCTTCTGTAGTGAAGTTGCCACCTCGTTGTGGTTTCAGTAGTTTCTCCCTTCTTTAAATAAACTAATGAATATGGTTGTGTAGTGGTCTTGACAGGGTGCCCTGTGTGAAGAAAGTTACCTGATCCTATGTCTCTCAGAATCTCATACCTTTCCATGTTTGTTTATCACCAAACACCATTCCCTTACAACAATAATAATTGTTTTCGTTTTCTCACTCACTCTCCCTCCCCTCCCCTCCCCTCCCTTCCTTCCTTATATCAATCAATCAATTTGTATTTGTTGAGAGCATTTCATTTTGCTTTCAAATCAATAGCTGTAAAGATATCTTCTCTCATCAAGCCTTTCCAAAGTCCAAACCAACCAATGATTTGCAGGTCCTGATTCATAAACTAATTTTATCCCTATGCCCTGATTGCTGATCATTGAAACTAAAATTCATAAACTAAACATCATCTATAATCAAGGAAAGGCATTCAGTCACCATTGTGAGGAGTTTTTTTACTTTCATTAAATCAGATGCCTTTGATAAGTTGGTCTTTGAGACGAGTGTAAACAGTCTATTGACACTGTTTTAAATTCGGATGCATAATTTTGGTCTGGACTTTGATGCTTTACATTATATAGAGGAAGATGTGCATTGCATTCAAGTTGTCTATACTCCATACGGCATAAATATGAGATTAAATACGGAATTTTTAATCAGATTGGATGCCTTTAGGGTTGCAGATTGCTTTTCTTAGAGCGAGAGGGTTTATGAGTTGCATAAAAGGGGAAGACAGAGAGATAGAAGGATCCATACCTTGAGGAAGAGGTCGATGGAGGGAGTTGCAGACAACGTTGAAGGAGAAGATCGATTTCACTGAAAGAGCAAATCGATTTCGCGGGAGAGACGTGTTTAGAGATCAATTTCGCGCTGAAGAAGCAGATCGATTTCGCAGGAGAGACGTGAGCAGATCGATTTCGCGGGAGAGACGAGTTTGGAGAGCATTCAATCACTCTCCAATTGAAGCCAGCGGAAAAGCCGCGAGGGAAAATAGGAAGCTGTTTAGCTAGCCCGTTGGAGTGAGAATATTAGGCTGATATGAGCTAAAATAGCTAACAGTACCAATATACCTGTTCCCTTGGAGTTGCTCTTATAAATTGAACAATACCTACAAATGTGTTAGAAGTTAGAAGTTTTCTGGGGCTTGCTAGCTATTACATAAGATTTGTAAAAGACTTCTCCAAACTTGCTATGCCATTGACACAGTTAACACAGAAAAATGAATCATTTGATTGGAACGATCAACGAGAAAGAATTAATATTGTGAATTATTACTAATTTCATGCTTACAATGAAATTGTTCTAACCAATCAAGTGCTTTTGATTCCTTTGTAAAGCAACCAAAAGAAAGCCCAGACAATAATTCAACCAACCCAAGGACCAAGAAGGTAAAGATGCTTTGGTATTTCGTTGTGGATCCCACACCCTCTCAAATTCACAAGACCTAAAAAGTAGAAAGCATGCTTTCACAATACACATAATCAAACATATCACATGCAAGCATCAAAAACAAAAGACAAGCCACCCTCACCATCCTAATCCCATAGAAAAAAAGTAGAAGACCAAAGATGCAACAATAATTTAGTATTATCAAAACCCAACCCCTCAGTTTGGGGTAGGAGATTAAAATAAAAAAAATAAAAAAAAAAAACAATATTCCTTCCAAGCCACCTTCTAACAAACCAATGACTTCAAAACAGAACACTTTTAACTCACTTCATATAACAAGTATTGACACAAACTCCAAATCAACAAGATACAAAAATCAAATAATCCACAAATATTTAACTTCCTGCACAAACTCAAAACAACAGTTTCTTCATGATTCATGAATAATCGGCTCGCGTAATTCAATCCACACACAATTTATCTTGTAATTTCACCTTTTGTTAATTTCCTTGGAATATATTCGTCTGCAATGCACAATTCAATTTTTCTCTTGGTTTTCTACCTTTAGACTGTAAAGTATCTGATTGCCCCTCACTGTGATCTACATGGCACATGGGGGTTGTTGGCTGGCATGTTCTTTCAGATTTTTGCAGCCCTATGCTTTATTATATATACTTAGTTTGGTCTATGTGATGGAGCAGTTTAGAAGTTAAAGCTTGTTTGAAAGTTAATTAGTGGGATTGTGGGTGTGTTGGGGGAAGCTCATCCTACCTGATTGAATGAAGAAGGCTAAAAGAGCACTTGCATTGATAATATTTCAGTCCTGTCTTCTTCAAAAGAGACAAGATACAGCTTGAACTGAGATTTAATCACCATAGCTAGTTGCTTGTAATGTATCATACATATAAGTATTATGTGCATATAAATGTGTTTGTTCATGTGCTCGTCATGTTCGAAAGATGCATGATACAGCTTAAAGTGAGACTTAATCACCACTAGTTGCTTGAATTTGATAATGTGTCATACGTATGGGTATTATGTGCATCTAAATATGTGTTGTTCCTGTGGTTGTGAGTTCTCTAATGGTTTTAATTACTTACTAGTCCAGATTCTTGTTCTGCATTTGAATAGCATTCTCATGATCTTTGGTGGTTTTAAATCATGATTACTCAACACTCAATATGCTTGCTAGATGGTAAAAAACTTGGTATTCTATCAGTAAAAATAAGTACAGGATTCAAGCCAACAGGTGGGATTCTAAAGTGATTAACTAGAGAAATTCATGTGCTCCTTGGAAATGCATTTCTAAATTGTTGGATTTATTCTATGATTTAATTTGTTTCATGAGGATAAAATTCTTAGAATATGTATAATTAAGGTCCATCTTGCAAAATCATTCGCAACACAAAAACACAAAACACAAAAACAGAATAGTAAAGTATCAATGTATGCTTGAACTCACAGATCAGACCCTCAAGTACACATATAAATTGTTTACAGATTGTAAAACCAAGAAAATGGGAGAGACCAGATTACAGAGGAACAAGGAAAGTTTGTGCTATACATACATATATATATATATATATAGAGAGAGAGAGAGAGGGTTTATGAGTTGCATAGAAGGGGAAGACAGAGAGATAGAAGGATCCATACCTTGAGGAAGAGGTCGATGGAGGGAGTTGCAGACAACGTTGAAGGAGAAGATCGATTTCACTGAAAGAGCAAATCGATTTCGCGGGAGAGACGTGTTTAGAGATCAATTTCGCGCTGAAGAAGCAGATCGATTTCGCAGGAGAGACGTGAGCAGATCGATTTCGCGGGAGAGACGAGTTTGGAGAGCATTCAATCACTCTCCAATTGAAGCCAGCGGAAAAGCCGCGAGGGAAAATAGGAAGCCGTTTAGCCAGCCCATTGAAGTGAGAATATTAGGCTGATATGAGCTAAAATAGCTAACAGTACCAATATACCAGTTCCCTTGGAGTTGCTCTTACCACCGGTTATGCCATGTTATGTGCTTGATAGGTCTAGGAGATCGAGGAATAACACTGGCCATGACTCCCCCGATGATAACATCTTCCCACAATCTTTGACGTTACTATATGGCTGCGCTTTGAGCATTGTTTCATTGTTATTGTCCAATGACATTTC